TGTGGAGAGAAAGGAACCCTTCTCCATTGGTGGTGGGAGTGCAGACTGGTGCAACCACTGTGGAAATCAGTGTGGAGATACCTTAAAGAACTAGAGCTGGAGGTCCCACTTGACCCAGCTATTCCCCTGCTGGGTATCTTCTCCAAAGAATTAAAAGAATCATACCACAGTGATATATATGCACCCATGTTTATATCGGCACAGTTCATAATAGCTAAAGCTTGGAAACCACCTAAGTGCCCATCAACTCAAAACTGGGTAAAGAAGTTTTTTTTTTTTGTAAAATGGAGTACTACTCAGCCATAAAGAATGAGAAACTGGAGACATTTATAGCTAAATGGATGCATATTGAGGCCATCCTCTTAAGTGAAATAAATAGGACATACATGTGTAAATACCAAATAGTTTCTCTAGTGTGAGAAACTGAAAGTGTAAATAAGGATTAAAATAAATAATTGATAATTTGAAATAGGAAGAAAAGGTCCAAAGGGGTAAGGGAAGTTGGAGGGAAAGGGGAAAGGGAAGAAGGGAAAGGAAAAAGTATGAGAAAAGAAAAAAAAAATGGAAACGAAATCTATGTAAATAGGGAAGGGTGGTGGGGGTGAAGGGCGCACAGGTAATGGGGAAAAAAATAAGAATCAAGATACATCATGTACAGGTACAAGCACCCAGTGATAAATGTAAATGTATTGTATACCTAAAATGTACCAATAAAAGAATTTAAGCACCCGCCCCCCCCCCAACCCACATTGCTATCAGGGGCGAGGATTTAGCTCAGTGGCATCATGCCTGCCTCGAAAGTGCAAGGTCCTAAGTTCAATCCCTGGTACCGCAAAACAAAACAAAACCAAACCATTGCTATCAATGAGTATAGTTACATAAAAGCTCTTCCTGTTGTCAGTTCTGAGAGTCAGTAGAGGAGAATAGGCAGCTTTGAAATGTTTCAGGATGAACCGCTCACCAGTTCATTTCTGTGGCCTGGTTGAAAATGAAGCCTCTACCTTCTGTGGAACATGGTCATCAGATGCATTTTCTAGTCTTACACGGTATATCCACCACAGCATATCTACTTTCCTCAATCCATTAACCCCTTCTTCAACTATCTTCCATGAGAGTTATGACACTTTTTTTTCTTAAATTCTTTTATTGGTACATTGTAGGTATACAACACAATTACATTTCCCATTGGGAATTGTACCTTTACATGATGCATCTTGGTTCTTATTTTTTCCCCATTCCTAGCCCTCCCTTCATGCCCTCCACCCTTCCCTATTTACAAAGACTTTATTTCCATTTTTTCCATTTCTCATCATTTTTCCTTTCCCTTCTTTCCTTTCCCCTGCCCCTCCCACTACCCCTACCCCTTTGGACCTTTTCTTCCTATTTTGCATTATCGATTATTCATTCTAATCAATGGTACATTTTAGGTATACAATATAATGACATTCATCACTGGAAATTTGCACCTTTACATAATCTCTCTTGGTTCTTATTTTTCACCCTTGTCCAGCCCTCCCTTCAGCCCCTCTAGCCCTCCCTATTTACAAAGATTTTGTTCCTATTTTTCCATTTTCTCATATTAATCCCACTCCCTTCTATCCTTTCCCCTAGCCCTCCCACTTCCTTCCCCTTTGCCCCTTTTCTTCCTATTTCACATTATCGATTATACATTTTAGTCCTTATTTACACTTTCAGTTTCTCACACTAGAGAAACTATTTGGTATTTATACATGTGTGTCCTATTTCTTTCTTTTTTTTTTTTTTGGTACTAGGGATTGAACTCAGGACCTTGTGCTTGTGAGGCAGGCAGTGGAACCACTGAGCTAAATCCCCGGCCCTGTGTCCTATTTATTTCACTTAAGAGTATCGCCTCAATGTGCATCCATTTAGCTATAAATGTCTCTATATGACACTTTTATTTTATTTATTCATTATTTTTTTGGTACTAGGGATCGAACTCAGGACCTTGTGCTTGTGAGGCTGGTGGCGGAACCACTGAGCTAAATCCCCGGCCATTTATAGCACTTTTAAATGTCATTTAGCTTGGACCGCCATTTGTTCCATACCTCTGAGAGTTGTCCAACCAGTGAGTTAGTTGATGTCTTTACTGGGTTATTAAGTTCTGTATCTCAAGGGAAATTTTCTAATCATTTGTTCTTTCATCATCCACCCTCCGAATCCATTGCCACCTGGACTTTCTGGTTCTTGTCAGTATATGTCAGCTCTGTCTGCCGAGTTCTGTGAGGGCATAGCTCCTGCCATACGTCATCAAGCACAGCATAGCCATGACTGAATTATGCTGCAACATAAGCATTGTTATGCCAGGTGACCAAAAGGGCTGTGTCTGACAGGCCCATGATTTTGCAGAGAAGAGGCCCCAGACTGTTTTCGGCAAAAGGGCAGCTCATAATAGAGGCAGTTGCCCCACTCTCTAGGTCCTGAGGGGCCAGGAAATCCTGAGAATTAAATTTTTGGAGTGCCTTAACCTAAACGACTTCATCATTTTAGGAGTCAGGGACTCTTTTCCTTCTCAAACAGATTCTGAGGCCTAGCAGATCTGCTTTGGTTGGGATTTTATCCTTCCTTAGAGCTTGGCCACTGTGATGATTTCATTTTGGACCTGGTCCTCAGTTGGTCTTTTCTCTCACTGTTCTGCATACTACCAAAGAGGGCCCCCAGCCTTCACAGCTGGCATTAAGCTGTTAGTCACTCTCAGTTTTTCCTTATTTTTACTCCACCTACCTTGTCAGGTGGTATTCCAGCATCACAATTCTATAACTGGCTGGCATCAGCTGTTACAGATTAGGAACCCTGGGATGCAGAATATGAGAGAGTTTCGTGTCCAGAAGATTTACTAGGGAGCGTCCCTGTACAAACCTGGAGAAGTGAGGGGCGGAATCAGGATTGAAGAGAGGGAGCAGTTGCAATGTAGGCATTGTCCCACCCAATTGGGAAGCCCTAGAGTTGAAGTGACCTGCCAGAGTTCTGCTTTTGACCTTGAGTGGCATAGCCTTTATACCTAGCCATGGTCTGTTACTAAAGTGGGCTACTCACCAAAGAACTGTGGCCTTGGGCAAGGAAGCTGCCTGTTATTCTGAAGCTGCTGACAAATGAAGGCTTTTTGTCACCATTCTTCTCACAGAGCCATAAGACCATTCACGAGAGGGATATGGATGAAATATTTCTGTGTGTCCCACAGGAGCTCTACATAGTAATGGGCTAATAATATAAGGTCCTTGCTTAAATTCAACTTTCTGTAATACATATAAGGAGTAAAATGATTCTCTGCACCGAAAACTACCACAAACATCAAACATCATTAAGAGTAACAGAGTAGTCACCATTGTAGTTAAAACATACTCTCATAGGGATGGGGATTTAGCTCAGTGGTTCTGCCACCTGCGTTGCAAGTGCAAGGACCTGAGTTCCATCCCCAGTACCAAAAATAAAAGAAAAAACACCCCCATACTGTCATAAGGCAGTCATTTTAATGAATTCCTCAATTTCATGACAGCCTAAAGATTAAGGTCAGACTGATGGTAACTGGTTTTAGAGTAGGAACATTTATTGGGAGAAAGAAAGCTTCTGCCAAAGAGGGACAGAAGGGGGACTGGAAAGTGGGTTGCCCGCTCACCCCACTTTTCAAAGATGTTGTATACAGCAAAGCCATGTGGCGAAGTGGGTACAAAGTGGGACAAAACTCTAAGACCCAATGGAAATGTACAAGGTGGGCATGAGGTGGGACAAAACCATGACCAGCCAATAAGATTACAAGTACAGTCACCCAGGTAATATTGATTCAATGGGGGTCAAATGGGGGAGCAAGTCACGTAGCAAGCATACAAGGATTTTCAGTAAGAATGGGGGTCAGGGATATTCCCTGGAAAGGCTGGGTTAAGACCTTGATCCCCTACCTAGGTGGAATGTATTTTCTAACATTTTCCTTATTATTATTATTTTTGGAGATAATGGTGGGCTACCAGGAAGTTACTTAGAAATCTCCCACAATTCCTGGATTGGGCTGTTCCCCTCATGGTTAGTGGGGTTGCCTGGTTGGGGCATTAGTTATCACTCTGTACGTCCAGAGAACTTAGCAGTGGAAATAGGTCTCTTTTAAACAGTTTAGCAGACTGAGCAGTGATAAAGTAGAACCTCAATAAGCCTGGTGCAAGGTCCTTGGAACACCTTGATGTTGCAATTGTTAAAGTTCAGTTGAGAAGTCAAAAGTCGATTTGGCAGGTATGAAGCCATGGAACAAGGATAGTGGTGGTTGTGAGATCTCGGAAGTGTTGGAACAGCAATTAATAATCAAAACAATATTCTGAGAACAAAAGTAGATATGCTAGAATGAGCTAGCTGAATGTCAGCCCTCCTAGGAGCTTATCAGTATGTTTATACACAATCATATCCTTCTTGATTTCACCTGTATTCCTAGCCATCCTGTGTCATTTCATCAGCTATGAATTCAGGCCTATTCTTTGGGCACTCCCTATACCTGCTTGGACAGTCTACATTTGTCTGCATTTTTTTTTTTTTTTTTTGGTACCGGGGATCGAACTTGGGTCCTTGTGCTTGCGAGGCAGGCGACGGAACCACTGGGCTAAATCCCTAGCCTGGTCTGCATATTTTTGCTGTAGTGTTTCTGTCAAGGCAGGTGTGTTTCTGTTTCACTCAACTATTTTCTCCACTGAGTCTCCCTGAGGATCCACTAAGTCCTGTGCTTTTCTGGGGGATATCTGAGAACACCTGTCCCTTCCACATGAACCTCCTTAGAAGCCTGAATTTGAGCCTCCACTGGGTTCCCTGAGTCCTGAGCCCACCAGGATGGCCAGGCTGAGGATGGGTAGAAATGTTATAACTTTAAAATGTATATGAACGATATATAATTTTAAAATGTTTAATGGATTTTTTATTAGTCCATGTTTGCAGCACATAATATTTATATTCCTTGTATAGAGTTGGTACGTGTACATAATACATTTTAAATCTCTTTTTTTTTTTTGGTACGGGGGATTGAACTCAGGACCTTGTGCTTTCGAGGCAAGCGGTGGAACTACTGAGCTACATCCTCGGCCCTTAAATCATTTTTTTTATTCCTCCCTCATCTCTTGATCCCCTTCCCATTTGCATAAGACCTATCTCCCTACTTCCTGTTATCTATCTTTTATTTTGCTCTTTATTTATAATTTGGGTTTCTCATATAAGAGAAACCATGCAATAGTTAAGCTGGTATGTCTGATTTATTTCACTTAATGTTATCAACGGATATATAATTTAAAAAAACGAATGGAAGAGAAATTTCTAGCCAACAGCCATGCACTTACCAATGCAGATCCTCATTGCAGTCATGGAGGCGATCCTGCTGCGTGCCAGAGGTACAGCTTTTCTTTGTTTGCAGTGTGTCTCAGTCCTGTTGTCTTTATACTGGCACCAGAGTTTGCTTCTATCTCTCTGTCTCTTTCTGGACCCCAGGCTTTAATATATGGACAATTTTATACTTTTGCCCAGAATCTCCAGGGTCCCCATGGCCTGATGTTGAGGATGTTGTACCACAAAAGAACCTTGTCAGGGCAGTTTGGAAATTCCTGAACGCAAGGTCCCTAGAGAAAGAAATGGTTAGAGAAATTAATCATACCTTCATCAAGTTTTCCTGTTGTCTCTGTAGGATGGATAATGTTTCTGAAGAATCAACGGAAATACCTGAACCCCACTTCCTCCTTTGTTGAACCTCTTGAATTTTGTTGTCTTTCTTTCATGATCAGTCAGGGCAGGGGATTTAGCTGAGTGGTTCTACCACCTGCCTCGGAAGCACAAGGTTCTGAGTTTGATCCCTGGAACCAAAAAAATAAAAAAAAGAATGATCTTTCCTGATCAGGCAGATGGACATGGGTTACTGTGTTTGTTTGTGTTCCCAGCAAGAGACCCAGACACAGAGACTTGCAACAGACAGTGTATTTGGGAAGTGATCTCAGGGTGCTGAAATGGAGAACCAGGGAAGAAAATGAGAAAAGCCAGAGATGCAGGAAGCTAGGATTCAAACTCACATGGCACCTTCTCAGAGAAAGTGTGGGATTCACCTCAAAGTGATCTTCCGGAAGTCAAGGAGGCCGAGGGCTGCATTGTTGGAGGGTGGCCCTATGGGCATCGATTCCCCACACTTTCATAGTGATCCTAACAGTGCTCCAGCAACTGCCCGAGAACTGGAGAAAGTGGAGAAGCAATGAAGAGAAATGCGCGTGTTTGAGGAATGACAACATTTTGCAATAGGGAATTGTCCACTGTACCTTCCGGTCACTTAGGTTGGTTGAGGTGAAAATGAAATGGGGCTTCTATGGAGGCAATGTGATATGAGAATAAGGGAGCAAAACTAACAAAATATTGGCATATATCATCTAAGCCTTGGGTTTTGATATCAGACAGAAAATGATTGGAAAGGGCTTCTGATTCTTACTTTTTTCTAACTCCAGGTTTTTCAAAGTCTCTATAGGTTGGAGGAAGAAAATGAAAGGGTAGGGAGCACACTGACAATAATATTGAGATAACTATTTCGTGTTCAAAATTCCCCAAGAAATTCCACAGGAGTTGAGTAGCGGCCAACTGTTTTCCACCTAGAACAGACTGCTTATCAGTCGTCCCCTCCTCATCTGTGGATAGGGTATCCGTCGTATCCTGCTCTTGGTGCAGGTCAGGGTGAGCCTTTACCCAAGACATTGTGGTTCCTCACCCACCCAATATGTGTGCATGGCAAATCTCCATTTGGAAGGCCAGTTATTTTCTATTTTATTTTTTGCAGTGCTGGGAATTGAATTCAGGGCTGTGTGGAAGCTTGGCAACTGCTCTGCCACTGAGCTCCACCCCTAACCCTTAGAAACACTGGAGCTCTTAAATCTATGGAGAGTGGAGGAATACACCTGGTTTTATGTGTGAGGTGATGAGATTGCCTCTGCCCCAAAAGCTCCTTATTCTTTCTGTACTACCCAAATAACTCCTACAAAGGCAGGAGTCCCCCATTTCAGAAGCCTCCATTTAGACCCTGGAGAGATGAAGCATAGGGTTCCAGACAGAGAGGGAGGCCTTACTTCGGGCAAGGTGGACGGTCTGTTCTCTTTGTGTGAATATGGTTTGGTTATGTTCACCAAGGCTTCACAGACTGGAAGCTTGGTGCCCAGTGTGGTGATGTGAGAGGTGGTAGAAACTTTTAGAGGTGAAGAAAATGGGAGATGACCAGCTAATTGGGGGCAGTGCCCTGGGCAGTAATTAATGCTGGTGCCTCAGACTGAGTTAGCTCTCCCTAGAGCGGGCTGTTCTAAAGCAAGTGCTGGGTAGGGCCCTGTGTGTGTCCAGGGGACTCTTACCTGGGCAGCTCATGGTGATCATAAGAATAGTGTCAGAGTAGCTGGTAAGAGTGGTGGCGGGGCCAGGCCAAGAGGAGACTGAGGGGGGGGGGGCGGCAGGGTCTGAGAAAGCATCCAGAGTCATGACCACAGTGCAGGGCCATGGGAGGGGTTCTGAAGTTTCAAGACCCTGGGTTCCCACTCTGTGTGTCAGAGCCAATTCGGAGGCAGCTGAGGCTACCATTGGGTGGCTGGCAGTGCGGTAGTGAGGCCCAGGAATGCATTTGCTGATCCTGGCAGGTTCAGCACTTGCTCCTTGACCCTCTATTCTTAGTCCTGTTAGGCACTTGAAGCATGAGCCCTTTGTCACCCATTATTCCACTTTGGCCTCACTACAACCCTGAAGATGTGAGGTATTATTTCCATCCCATGCGTGCGATCAGCAGCCCCAGGAAGGATTATAATACACGGATAGGTCCACAGTGAGCCTGTGTGCCCAGAAGAGGGTAGAGGGAGCAGATTCTGCTGCACACAATTACTGTGGTCTTTGGCACACAGTTTATCTCTCAGGGTCTGAATTTCCTCAGCTTTAAGACTAAGAGGAGGATTCCCACTTTTCAAGGTTGCTGGGGGATAAAATTTGATGGATTAGATATGTGCCCTGAGGATCTTACTCCACAGAAGTGATCTGGCACTCTGGCTGCTGTGATTGTCGTCCACCCCACCCCCACCCCCTTAACTCAGTGGAGGAACATCTGAGCACAACCAGAGCCAGCTGCAGTTGGATGTCACACTGATGGTCCCTGCCACGCCTCTGCCCACACCCACGCAATTGGCCGACCTCCAGGCAGTGAGTCAAGGCTCTCCTGTGAATTGCAGGGTTTTTATTGCTGGAATCCTCTAGTCAGACACCCGCACATGGTGGGCTGCTGAGACTGTGTAGTGAGCAGGCACGTGGCTTCCGTGGGTCTCTTGGTAAGGATGGATCCTTTAACAGTACTGGCTTGAGTATATTTTCTCCTGCAAAGAGAATGTCAGGGACCTTGGTGAGGCCTCAAGGGTGAAAGAGACATCGGGACACCTGAACACTCATTGGCCACTTCCTGGGAAGGGCCCACAGCCAGGTTGGAAGTGTGGAGCCTCAATCTATGCAGGAAAATACAGATTGCTCCCAGTCTCCTGCACCACCAGCGTGTCCCAAGGGCTGTCTGAGAAACTCTGCAAAGCTCTCAGCAGTCAGGCAAGAAGAGGAGGAGTGTTTATTCTTTAGGATGGAGGTTGTGGCAAAGTCTGTGGCAGAGTGCCAAGGCACTGCTGAGAAGGAACTGGCAGAGCTGTGGGCAGGGGAGCCTGTGGGCAGCTGGGGCTCAGGAATGAACAGCTCCCAGTCAGCTTCCTACTTCCGCCCCTCATACTTATAGATGCAGCAGGCTGTCTCCTTTCCTGGCACACGATCCACACAGTGGCGCTTTGGGATCCAGGACACATGGCAAGTTGAGAGTTTTGGAGGGGAGTAGTAGGAACTGAATGATTAGGAGAAGGGCAGGACCCAATGTGTATGGTTTGAAGAGGATCCAGACTCATGTGCTGGAGAGGCTGGGGTCAGGGATGTTAGAGCCGAGTGACTGACATGGAGCCAGCAGGTGCCCTGGAGACAGAGCCTTCCAGAAATTCTCGTGCTGGTGTGGCAGAGCTGAGCACCCATGGGCCACCCCAGGAGCTCAAGGGGTGCATTGTTTCTTTGGTTCTTCCCTGTAGAGTCAGAGCCTGCTCCATCCCCTCTATGTATTTGTTCATGAGGTTCTTTTTCTTCCAGATTTCCAGGCAGGGCCATGTGGGAAGGAGAATGAATCCCCCCAGTTCTGATCCCTCACCCCCAGGATGAGCAGATCCCCAGACAGGCACAGATACACAGACATTCCCTGGGGACTCACCAACACACTGGATGCATTCTCCTTATCCTCTTCTGTCAATTTGTCATCAACACATTCCTTAACAGATGCAGCAATGGCCAACATTTCAGGGTCACTTATGTATTTCTTCATGTAGGTAACATATTCATCAGTGGTTCCATTTAGGAATAGATCCACATCCTTTTTCACAGCTGAGCACAATTCACCATCTGGAACACAAAGACAAGCTGACCCTCCCTTCAGAGATTCCCATCAGGACACATTCACCCCGCTCCCCTCCAGCAGGATCAGAACTGCCCTGGGAAGGTGTCACAACCCCCCAGAGAACCCACACCCCAGACAGCCACGTCCAAGCACCCACTTCTGCCTGGGATCAGGAGCAAGGCAGCCCCAAGCAACACAAGAGCAGTAGCTGGCTTCATGATGCAGGTGGCAGGCACTCCCTACCCGGCTTGGTATCCTTTTATGCTTGCTCTGGGGTCACAGTGGGGCAGCCTGTGTCTGACAGGACCTTAGGGGGTAGGGGAACTGCCTGGGGCTGTGGAAGGGGAGGCATGAGTGTTGGCAAGAAGATAAGCTCCAGAGTCAACAAAGGTTCTGGCTTTTCCTTTTCTCCTTCTTAGGCCTCTGACCAAGGTCAGGGGACCTGAGCAGCTGAAGAGATAGAACCAAAAGGAAACCTGACTGGGAAAGGAGTAAAAGCCTAGAAAATTAGACCCCAGAGTAATCGTCCATGTCAGCTTGCCATACCTGATGGTCCTTAAAGATAACCTGGCTGTGAATTTATCATTTTTGAGGGGAGGGGGCTGGTACTGGGTATTGAAACCAGGGCCTTTGCACCAAGCTTCATCTCTAACCCTTTTTTTTTTCTTTTTGGTACCAGGGATTGAACTCAGGTCCTTGCTCTTGCAAGGCAGGTGGTGTAACCACTGAACTAAATCCCTGGTCCATTCTGTTCTGTTCTTGCAGAGCTGGGGGTGGAGCCTCAGGCCTTGCCATGCTAGGAAAGTGGTCCACAGCTGAGCAGCATCCCCAGCCCCTTTCTGTTTTGTGACCAGGCCAAGCTTGTCTCCGTAGTTGGGCCTTCACAGCAGCTGCCCTTATTTCCTGAACACCTCCTCCAATATGCGCATGATTCACTGCCTAACTCCCCAGATCTCTTCCAATATCTCCTAACCAGAGAGTCTGCCTAGTACTGGTTGTATGTGGTTTGTCCCCATCAAAACTCACACTGAGGCTTGGTCCTTGGTGTAGCAGTGTTGGGAGGTGGGGTCTCCTAGGAGGGATTACGGGAGTGGGGTCCTCAGGAATAAATCTGTGGTTTTCTCCCCTAAGTGAAGTCTCTCTCTTGTGGCACTGGATCAGTCACCAGGCTGGCAGGCTTTTACAAGCTCACTTTGGTGTCCAGGGCTTTCTCTTGCTGTGTTCCACACGTGCCCAGTTTCCCTTCCAGTTTCCACCAGGAGCTGAACCAGCATATGACTCTGGTTGCCATGTCAGCCAGCGTCGCAGTGACAGATGATGTGGACAGTAAAAGAATTCACTAAGGGGGCCAGGGATTTAGCTCAGTGGTTCTGCCGCCTGCCTCGAAAGCGCAAGGTCCTGAGTTTGATCCCCAGTACCAAAAAAAAAAAAAAAAAAGAATTCACAAAGACAAGATTACAAATAAAGACAAGTGGTTATTTAGATCAGAGTGCACTGTCGTGAGTAGGTCAGACAAGGGGAGAGCTACACCTGTTAGCAGGGCAGTGTTATTTTTGAAGGGTAAAGCATGGCTGGAAAGAGGGAGTGGCTTGGAACCACGATATGCTAGGGAGGCCAGAACCACGCACTCTCTGTCGCCTTTGGGAGCTTCAGTGCACACCATCCCCATGATCAAGTATGGGCCAGGGGTAGGAGAGATGAAACAGTCACATGCGTTACAGGAAGGAGTGCCAATGGCTGTTTTGCTGCATGTTTCTGTATGAGTTCATCTTGAAGCAGAGTAGATGACACTGATGGACAGAACAGAGGCTGACGTGGCCTCTCCCCGGTTACTCAGCACTCTACCACTGTACCACAGGGTCAGTTCTTTAACATTTGGGCAGAGGCCTCAGCTGCCTCAGGCTGGTTGTGGGTGGAGACAAAACACACAAATCAGAATTAAAGCAGTATTTTGCTAGAGGCAGTTGAGTATCCTTTTCTCTACATCAACAGTGACAGAATTAGTACCATGTGAGAGCACATGATAGGACACGACACAAACCTTTTACTGCTGATTAGAACCCTGTGCCAAACAGGATTCACATCCGGTAGCCGTCTTGGTAAGAGGTGCCAAGTACTGAGCTCCAGCTGTCAGACCCACCATGCTCTCCGGTTAGGGTTAGTATCTCAGTCTTCTTTGTTTTTATGACGTTGGAGTCTGGGGAGCACTGGTGAAATATAGAATGTGCCCCAAGGTGAATGTTTTCGTATGTCTCTGTATTGTGTTGAGCATGGAACCCAGGGCTTCTTGTGCGACAGGCAAGTATTTTACTATTGAGGGAAACTCTCAGGCCTCAGTCTGAGTTTTCTGGTGTTTTTCCTCATCATTTACACTAGCTTATAAAGATACCACAGAGGTCAAATGTCCTTGTCACACGTATCAGGGTCTGCACGTGTTTAATCAGTGGTTATCACTTATCATTAGGTCCCTTGATTAACGTTGTGTTTACCAGGCTTCTCTACTCTCTTCCTTTTCCCTGCTCTTTTCTTTCTTTGTTTCCTTTTTTTTTGAGGTACCCGGGATCCAACTCAGGAAATTGCACTTGCGAGGCAGGTGTGGCACCGCTGAGCTAAATCCCTAGCCCTGTCTTTCTACTCTCTATTTTCCATCACTTGTCTTTCATTTTACTTTTTAAATTACTTTTACCTTGGGTTTCTTATATAAAATAAACTATGGGATGTTTAACCTGCTGTATCTGGCTTCTTTCACTTAGTATCATGTTTTCAAAGTGTATTCATTTTTCTACAAATGACTCAAATTTATCCTTCTTTATGCTTGAATAAAACTCCATTGTGTATATGTTTCACATTTTAAAAAATTTATTCATGTGCTGTTGCACATATAGGCCACATCCAAGTTTTATCAATTTTTGTTTTATATGCAACAGCTAAGATGTTCAATCAATCCCAAGTAGGCTTGTACTCACACACTTTTCTCCAGGTCTTAAACATAGATAGGCATATGTCATTTTTCTGAAGGAATGTTTTGCTACTTATGGTGACATAGAACTGACCTTAATGTATGTGGTTTTTATCTCCACATTGTGAGAGAGTGCAGCATTTGGAGTCAGGAGAGTTAGGTGGCAGGATATGACCGAGAACTAGATGTGACAGTGCTGGGACAATAGCACTTTTGGCTCAGAATGGAGCCAGTTAGAAAGGTCAGCTCCAATTGCTCTTTTGGCAAAGGTATAGTCACTTAACACCCAAAGAAGCAGGGTGAACATCTCTAAGAAATTTGCTTCCTAGAGCGGGAGGGGCTCCAGTGCTTACTGGCCCTCAGGGTGGAGTAACCACATGTCCTCAGCCACCAGCATTTGGAGCTCGTGGGATGGGTGAGGTCTGGGCTGCAAGAGCCAGTGGTTTATAAAGCAGCAGGGACCTCACCTGTGCAGAGCATCTCAGGGATTTACACCATGAGGGGAACAGTGCTTGTGCTGGCCTTGCTGCTGACCGCAGAGCTGCGCATCCAGCCAGGTGAGAGTGGGAAGAGGGAGCAGATGACTTTCCTGATCCTTGCTCCCACTTTGGGTCACTCCAGCCACCCTTGTGATCTCCAAGCAGGTTACAAAGACAGATTTAGGTGGTATCTGGGAAACCACTGCCCAGGAGTCCTGCAGAAAAGCTCTGGAGCCCTCAGCCTTTGAAAGCAAGGAAAGATTTGGTGCTGGAGGGGTCACTAGTTATGGATAGAGTAGGGAAGTGAGTTGGGGTCATGGTGCTGAAGTGAAAGGCAGAAACATGGAGGCTGCTATGCCTGGGGCTGTGGTCAGGGCCAGAGTGGTCCTTGTTCTGGTCCAGGTCCTCCTTTGTGGGAGTAACTCAACAGAGAATATGTTCTCTGTCTTGAGTGGCAGCAGTCATGAGTGTGGGCAGCACTCTGTGGAGCATCAATCAGCTGGCAGTAGATCCAAGTGGTGGGGAAGCATGGACCTCAACCCTTCTCATCCTGGAGACTTTTTTTTGGTACTGGGGATCGAACTCAGGACCTTGCACTTGTGTGGCAGGTGCTGGAACCACTGAGCTAAATCCCCGGCCCATGGAGACTTTTTTAATGGGATGTTTTCTTGCCTGTGTTTTCAGTGGAAGCGTGTGTTATTTTTTATGATGTCTTCACTAGAGTGATCCTTGGATCCAAGGAACCATTGTTTGATGTCCTAGCTAAGGTAAATGCTACTGAAGGAGAAAAGGCAGCCTTTCAAAAAATCCAGCAGTGCTTCAATGAAGGAGGACTCAAAGCCAAGATAGTGGATACATTTGCCATGGTAACTTCCTCTCTAATTCCTTTCCTGCCTCTCACATGCAGCATACAGCAGTATTTCATGTATAAAAAGACTACGAAATCATTTAAAGTATGATAGCTGAGGCCTATAATCACAACATGTTATGTACACATCCAGCCTATTATGCTGCCACAACTGTTCCTATAACAACAAGAAGCACTCAGGAGAGATAAAGAACACACAAGTAACCAGGAGAATACTATCAGTGAAACATAGACAGTGTTTCCAGTCTTGTGATTTTTTTCTCCCTTAGGTTAGAGGAGGGAGCAGAGCAGGAGGAGAATGTTAACCTTTTGCAGAAAGGAATCTTCAGTCCAGCTCCTGCACATGTAGGAGCCTATGAGCTGTATTTTCGAGACTGGAGGACTTCTGCCTTATGGGCAGCTTCACTTCTTCCGGTGCCCACCTTGATGGCTACTCCACCAGCTTAGATAGAGCCCCACTTGCACCTAGATTGTCGGTGCTCACAGCCAGAAGTTGTACTCCCTGGCTTCTATCCCTGAGGCCTCCAAGGCAGCCCCTGGCTCCATGTAGCTGCTTATCAAACCTGCTCTGTGCATTTCCTGACTTTTAAAAAATGTTCTTGTTTCTATATTGTGTAGATTGCCAATAGTCTGTCTCCTGTCCTCGTTCCCAAAGTGCTATTATTGACAAATGGGCAAAATGAATGCCCCTCCAACCAC